ACCCCTTGTCTGGTGGCACCAGAGCTCTCTGACAGACAAGGCTAAATGTCTCACAAAACTACAATTCCCAAGACTGAATAGCATTGAACTATGGCAATTAAAGTGGTGTCAAAATGGATTATTTTTGCAGTGTGGATGCAGAATAAGGAGATTATCGTGCTTACTTTTAATTTGACAGCTCCTCAATGGGATAAAGTCACACTGTGGGTAGCTACTGGGTATTATTGCATGCAAGTTGCCACCGCTGTTGCCAGGTGAATGCAACATGGCTGCATGCAGGGTCCCAGCCACACTTTGGAGGCTGATTTTCACTGATGGGAGCAGCCTCCGATTCATGGCTGAGACTTGGGATGCAGCTGGGTTGCACTCAGCCAGTGGCAGCAGCGGTGACTTGCAGGCAATAATACCTGGTAGCAACCTGCAACTCAACTGTATCCCATTGGGGAGCAGCCGATAGAGAAACTGGTGAGGAAACACAACCTCCAAATAAATAAATAAATAATTTTTTATTTATATCCTGCTCCTCTGCAAGGCAATCACACACACACCACACTTCCATGCTGGCATTCTCTGAAGATGCCAGCCACAGATGCAGGTGAAATGTCAGGAATAAACTCTTCTAGAACATGCCCTCACAGCCCAAAAAGCCCACAAAAAAACTAAGCCGAATGAACTCTGGGCTGTATGTTTATTTACTGGTGCATTTTTATTCTTTAATTTACTGTGTTACTAACATGTACTCTTGGTATTCTGTCATTGTGTTATATGTAACAGTCCTGCTTGTGAGCCTATTGTTCCCATTAAATGATTAGGGGAGGTTTATGCATTATTGAGATAAAAGTTTGCTCTCAGAACTGGTTCCTGTGAATATTTTCTATATTTGGAAGTCTTTTTTGGTTGAAACAGATATTATCTGAAAATCTGTCCATCTATCTATTTATTGAATATATTATTCTATATATTGTATATATTTGGAACATATTGTTCTGTTTATATAATTTGCATCTATTAGTAGTATGTATTTACAATTCCTATTTTTATTTACTCTTACTGTGAGTCACCTTAAGTTTCATTTTTGGGGAAAAGATATAAATCCAATAAACTACCTTATATAAGCCATATAATGGTTGATTCCTCCTCTCTCAAAAATCCAGGACTTAATCCAATTTGCTTCCAACTTACCTTGAAACACACAGATTCCTCAGTAGGCAGAAAGCAAAATAAAACAAACAAACCTTCAGAACAAAACACACATCAGTTTTATACTGAGGGATGCTTTGGGGTTATAACACTCTTTTAAAAGTGGAGCAATTTATTATACTGTTGGGTAAAATGTTTGCAACAGCACAACCCTTGATTTAGAATGAAAACTAGTCTTTTAATAGCAAAATATTTGGGATATCTGGGTCAACAGCAAAGGCACTTGTCCCTGATCCCTCTTTCCATAGTTAATCTGTAGCGATAATCAAAGTTTATTTTGTCAATAGAAAGTATAAATTTGTTGAATGATACATTTCTCTTGTTCTACTGCTCCTAACTGGTTGCTTTCTTGGTCTCTCTTTCCTGAAGCAAAATAAGCAAATAAAAACTGTTACACGTTGCATTTATGAATCTATTACTAACACCTCATCTCTGATATGAAAATTACCTTCCAAATTCCCTGTAAGAGCCCCTGTTTTCTGAAGCAATTGGAAGTGGGGCGTTGGTAATAGCTTGAAATTGTTGGTATTCAGGAATAGCAGGAGAAACCAAGGTCTACACTGCACAAATAATGCAGTTTGTTTGTTTTGTGAGATGTTTTGTCTTCTCTGTCAGAGAGCTCTGGTGCCACAGCAAACTACAAATCCCAGGATTCCCTAGCACCGAGCCAGGGCAGTTAAAGCAGTGTCAAACTAGATTATTTCTGCAGTGCAGATTAGACCTAAGAAGCTGAACTTGAAGAATCCACTGAAAGTCTATACAAAATGACAGCCCCTTGGGCAGACATGAGAGATATTTTTAGATTTGAGGATCCAGACTGTATTTCACAAGATAGTCACTACTTCCAAAAGTGTACTTCTGCAATTTCAAAATTTACATCAAGGCTTTAAGATTAATTCATAAGTGTCATACTAAAATTGGGTTTCAATAGCATGGCCTATGGTCAGCGTGTTAGATGACACCCCCCCCCCCCCCCCCCCCCCCAGTATTAGCTTACTGTCATTGGATTGCATCTACAGTGGACAAGTAAAGCATCAGGGTTGTATTAGGCATTTAAAGTGACTGTTCACAAGGATGTTTATCCTTTTCTTATTTTATTTTACTGCAATGTTCAGGAGCAAGAGTGCCTTTTAAAGACAGAGTGCTTTTATGCTGCTGTGATCAAGGTTCAAGATGTTTTGCCCCCTCTTCATCTTACCTACATTTGCTACATTTCTAAGTTCCCTGGAGTGAAATAGGTTCCAAATAGAATGGAAGAAAAATGTTTGTTTTGTATTACAGGGTAAGTTTCTTTTTGTCCTGAATTTTCCAGACAGCTTGTTAACAACTTGTTCTTAGTTTAGCATAGAGGTATTTTAGCTTCTGCTGTACGTATTTGCACAAGATATGAAAGGTTCCTAGCAGTTTGGGAATGCAGAGCTTGCAAAACAAAGCATGTGGTGTGTCAAAAATCTACATCTCATTAGATCTTTCTTCAGCACTACTGTTTCTCACCTTTCCAGAGATTTTAGATTATATAATACTGCAGCCACCTATTGGGATAACCTCACATGGCAACTAATAAAAATCTACCAGATTTCTTTTCCCATTTATCCCACAAATTTGTCACCCAATGCTTTGCAACTTTGTGCATCTGCTTCACTGTGTTTTCTGGAATACTTTAATTTAGTTTTGTAGATCTGTCCTCTTTGTCAGAAATATATTTTTTAAAGTCCATGTGGCCTAGCAAGCCAAAAGCCAAACCTAACCAGTGCCTTTCCAGTATCTCAATATAGCCTCAGGTAAATTGTAATCTGTTTAAACTGCTCAACTGTAAAATGGAAATACTGACTAACCACACAGTTGTTCCACAGAGAAAAACAGGAAGAATTGTCAAGTAACTCAAATGCTTAAAAAAAAAAAAAGATCCACTGTAGTTTCACCAGCTGTAGCTCGCCCATGTATTTTATTTATCAGAACCAGAATTACTTTACTTTGGTTTTTCATCCTTGAGCAATTTCCCTTGCTTCCCACTTCATATCTCTCATAAAAATATTATTTAAAAACAGAGAGCTGTTCACCCTTTTTAAATGTAAACGTCTTACAATTTAAAACATAAGGAATAGAAGCATCATTATAAAGTTTATTTGGCTCATTTCCTTGCAAGTGCAAATGATCTCCCTGCTCCTCTATTTGTATAGCCATGAAAACTTTCCTGCCTTCTTTTTATATAACACTGAACACCTGCTAGACATTTGGCAAGAAAAAGACATTAGTTTACCTGCTGCTTTCTAATCTATCCCAACTCCAAATTGTGATAACCATTGGCTTAAACAGTATTTTATTGATTGTGTTCCACACCAAAAGATCAAAGTAAGATAGCCCAGTCCTTGCAGTTGTTCAAGGCCTGACAAAATAGTAACATCTAGGTTTTCTCATTTGTTTTCCAGGTGGGATGCTTTCACAGCTGCATGACAAAATCAAATCAATGCCTATAAAGTGTTTTATCTTTTATTCAAGATTTCCAGGTTACGTCTATAAATGATGCCTTAACATGGTCTGGGGACATTAAGGATAGGTTCAAACACAGGGTCTTATTGCATTTCAAAACAAAGATGAAGGACAGCAACACAGAAGAAGCTTCTGTCTAATCTTCCCGCATGATGTTGCACTACTTCCATTCTCCCTCCAGAAGGAGCTTTTTATAAAAGTATGGCTTTCACCAAACTGATTTTTCCAGCAGGACAAAAGCCTCACGTTTATGATTATCTTCCTCAACAATAGACTGGAAATGCTTGGTAGATGTGCAGGATGATAAGCCAGAAATTGCTTCTGTTTCTGCCTTTCATCTTTCTTTTGAAATGTGATAAGGCCCCTAAACTTCCAGATAATCCTTTCACATGGCAAGACAGCAGCCCTTTGCTGTAGGATGGCCAAGTTTTCAACCAGCTTCAGTAGCTGTGCCTTTAAGAGCATCCTTATGTACAGGGGCTCTTCATCCCTATGGCATGGGAAGTGAAGGGCAT